TTGGCAATGTAATGATGTGATCATTGTACCATTGCCTCTGTAAATCCTAAGCTGTTGCTTTCTGTTGTGTAGACAGTTAATCACTTATATACCATATTACGGATTTAATTCAGATTGTCAGTAGCAGGTGAATAATGTGGCCATTTGTATATTAACATCATATTGTGTTAGTGTTCATTTCATTTAAATATGCTGTTCATTTAAAAATCATACTGTTGCTTCTTGAATAGGACAGAATAAATGTAATACGTGCACTAGGCATTAATGCCATCAATATTTTCACTTCATAAATGTTTCTTTTTCTAATTTGTAGTTCTGTGCAATCCAGGAACACATTATATGAGGAATGCATTATGCTGATAATAAATATGGTTTTCATAATTTTCATGTTGTTATGAGAACCGTCTGTCATAAACCATTTTGCGTTGGCTCAAATCCTTAGCCAATAACATCAAATGCGAAAAACAATATCAAACCCATAATATACCAATCACAATAACGAACTCTTAATATCCATTACAAATCAATAAACAGTTTTAAAATTGTGACAACAATGACACTTTAAAAACAACAAGAATTCAATCACTCAGATAACATAGTGCAAGGACTTATCCATTGACCACCTTAACAGTGGTTGTTTTTGACAAGGTCTTTATCACCTGTGCAACAAACTTTGCCATTTGCGGTGTTACCCATTTACTTTTCTTGGCAAGCAATATGATTAGTCTGTCATTGTCTGCTCTCCCTGGATATTGTAATGAAATGTTCCTGAAATATCTTTCACATTCTAGTGCAAATCGTGGACAATAGAAGGCCACATGGCCTAGATCCTCAATAGATTTCTGGGGAAGGTAGCTGGGGAAGAGAGAGGTTCCAAGATGGTGACCACAGCAGACATTTTGTAGTTCTGCTCATTTAAACTCTTTTAAACTGTTTTAAATTGCTGATAATAACTTCACTCCATGAACACGAGAGAGACTGCCGCTGGAAACCAAGAGGAAATAAGGAGGGTTTTTGTGCTTCATCTCAGCTCATTATGTTTGTTTAGTTTTCTACTCCCAGTGTCATTGCAGAGACCTAACTGAAGTGAGTGTTTTGAAGACCTGATAACTCTGACAACTTATAAAAATAAAGCACCTGCAGGAAAATTTATCTTTTGCTATGTGGAAGTTTAATTGAACTCTTTAAAACAAACTGAAGAACTGGAAAGATTTGGCTGTTCTGTTATTACTTTGGTTGGGCTTTTGAGTTTTTGGCTGCATTTGAAGATGGCAGACACCTAAACCTAGAGCTTCTTTCCCAGAAGTAATCAAGCCTCCAAAATTAATGAGTGAATGACAGAGAGAAAACTAGCAAAAAATAAATGCCTTTTGGCAGAAGAATTTTTCCATGCCAATAAGCATCCAAATTCCTCTAGGACTACCCTGACGTGTTGAGGAGAAAACCTCATTTGATCTGGATTTTGTGGGCACTTAATGCTTGCTGACTAGTAAATTGGCCACAAAACTATTTCAAAGTTTATTAGAGATTAATGCAACCATAAATGAGATTAAATCTAGAGTGGATGACATGCAGAATATTCTTATAACTGTTTCAGAACAGAAAGTATTGCAAAGGCCTACTATTCTAGGTATTCAGGGAGTCTTTTATTTATTTTTATTTATTTATTTAGGCATTTTTACCCCACCCTCCCCGCAGGCGGGCTCAGGGCGGCTTACAAGGGGCATAAGCCCATCCATAAAACCAGATAAAACAGTAAAATCGTAAATAATAATAATAACAATAATAAAGTGCTTCCTATAAACGAGATGGTCTTAAGTGGTTCTTGAGTGGTTCTGATGGCATCTTCGATCCTCCTCGTCATGATAGTTCCGATTCAAAAAGGAATGGAAAATTGCAAGTTGCCAGTGGTGAATCTGTTGACCTTAATGCAGTCACCTCAGGAATACAACTTTAAGGAAAGAGGTATATATCTGCTGAAGGGTTCCTTAGCATTTTCAGTTATTATGAGAACACATTTTTGAAGTTGCAGTAAAAATATTTTAAAAACACTGTACAGGGATTTGCCCACCCAAGCCAGTCCAGTAATGGGAGGGAACCCTGTACTTTTGAGTACATTAAACAACAAACCACGAGATGGTCTATTCCCTCTCTGGTTTCCAGAACAAATTGCCACCAGAACCTCTTTTCACTAGTCCCTGCCTTTCCTAAGGGAGAGATTCCAAACCCTTAGTTGGCATCTGGGACAGAACACCTTAGCAACTCACTCCAGAGATGCACACTTTTACTCTCCAATGGTAGCATATATGGGGAGTGTTTAGGCCACAGGATTTAGCCTTGGAATTCAGGTACAACATCAAAGACAATTTAGCAATAAGAGGGTCTTTATTCAGTACAGAGCTTAGCATAGACTACCAGAGATTACAAAAATAACAAAGGCTAGGGCGATTTGCCTTAACTACACATTAATGATTCATAGTTACCATGTCAGGATCATTCCTCAGTCCAAGATAGTTCAAGTACCAAGGGATTTTGAAGGGAAATCCCATTTTTGCACACCATGTGCTCCAAGTCACAAAGCAACTCTTTGTCTCTCAAGAGGCAGCATTTTCAGGTGCCATAAAACAAATAATGACAAGAAGAGGAAGGGAGAGCTAAACAAGTGAAGAGAAGAGCTAAGCTACTCACTCCCAGAGGGATCAAAACAATTATACCCCAATCTAATTGCAATCAGCTTTGGCCATCAGCCAGTCATGAGTGGACAGGGGTGTGTGGCCAATTGTTGGTTGCCATAGCTGCAACACAGGAATGGCTAGAAGTTTGGAGCCCTGCCTGCAGTCAGGTGACCCCAAACTCCAGCTACTTCATGGTCTACGTGACTAGTCACATGTGGGCCAGAAAGTGGTGCCATGAGTTCTGGTGTTTGGCATGAAAGTGTGAAAGAATGTGGGTTTATGGCATGGCTATTGAGGCCATGTGGCCCCCACCATTTGGCTTGCAACAGGAAACAAGACACAGCATGTTATCAAAAGACATCACTGGAGAAGGCATGTGGATATAGAAAGCAGAAAGCAATTTTTCTTTACAAACACATTTGCTTCTTACAGCCTTATTATGTTCATGGTGGCATTCAAATTGGTTTACTGTGGTATTATGTATGTAGGATTGCTTTTGGAGAATACTCAGAAACTTTACAGTGATCTTTAGCGGTCATTATCCAGGTAACCTATCCTTTATATATTAGGTAAATGTGGTGATGTTCCAACTGTAGAACACCATGCCCCACAGACGCCTGGTGTCTATTTTGTTGAATTTCGAGTAGGATTTAATGTGGAACATCAAAGCAGTTTTACTTCCCTGAACTTTTAATGAACATTGGTCTTCACCTCTGTTTTTTGTTAATGAAATTGAGTGTGAATATTAGTTTTGTGGTGTTTTGCTGATTAAATGGTTATTTTTTAATTGAAGTCACCTTGGAAATCCTTCAATACTGAATGACATAGAAATGTTTGAAATAAATAAATAATTATCAACAAGTGAATTTAATTCCTGAAGGCCATAAACCTTGATGTCTCTTATCTGCATGTCTCTTTCATTTATAACTGTAAGAAATAGGGTTGCCAACCACCACCACCCGGTTTGGCAGGGGTCCCCTGCTTTTTTGGGGCTTCTACCCACCGGCGGCCAGCTGGACGCCGGGGAAGCCCCAACACCTGCCACCACCCCTCTACCTTCTCTCTTGAGAGAGAGGAGGGAGAGGGTTGGCTGCGGACCAGCCACATGCCCGTTCTCCGCTCAGAGATCAGGCGTGTGGAAATGCCGGCTCCCTGCAGTTAAAGGGGCCCCTTTAACTGCAGGGAGCTGGCATTTCGCGTGCCCGATCTCTGCGGAGGTTGGGTGCATGAGGAAATGCCGGCTCCCCTGTCAGGCAGGCGGGGAGACATCCCCAACATGACATCATCATGTTGGGGATGCCCCGCCCACTCCAGGAACGCCCCCCAAAGTCCCTCAGTGGGGGTGAAGATAGGACTTGGCAACCCTAGTAAGAAATATAATTTCAGAGAGCTCCCTATATAACAGTCTTTCTATTATTTATAACGTTCTATGTTCTTGATATGTGCCAGCTTGGTATTTTGAATTTTAATGCATTGTTTCACTAAAGAGCTAATAAAAGTGATGGTTCATCAAGAAGTTTTCATCTAGCATCTTAAAAATATAAGTGTGAATGTCTTATAAATCATGCTGCTTTTCTATTTCAGTTACGGACCTTCTTTTAAATAGCAATATTTATCATATTTTCTCATTGAAATAATCATTACACAGTCCTGGTATATGTAATGAATGGTAGATTATTTAATGTATCATAATTGTGATCTTGTTACTTTTTAAAGATCCTTTTTGGCAAAATCTTCTTAGGTCCCGGTCACATGGGCTGGAAAATGCGGGGGGAAGGCGTGGCTGTTTGTCCCGGAGCAAACTAATGTGCGACCGCCAGATCACACATCCCGCTGACATCCCGTGGTTCGGGGGGAGGTGCCGATCTCACAACAATCCTGTGGTATGGCAAAGAAGCGGTGTGGCACGATCATAGCAGCAATGGCTAGGCGCCGCTGCCGTGGCAAACGGGGTTGTTTTTTTAAAAAAAACCGAAGTGTGCACATGCGCCATTGGATGCGTGTGCGCATCCCGTGGAGACTTGGGGAAAAAACCCTTTTTGCGATGGGACATGGGCGGGCGGCGGATGCCATGAACTACCACCAGAAACGTGATCACATGCCCGCCCTTGCCCCGTGGTTTCCAGAAACTAGTAACTCAGAGGTACTAGTTTTTTATGCCGCATCTTTGGCGGGAAGCCTCGGGTTAGCCATGGGAGCTCTACTCTTCCCAGATGTTGCGATGTGATCGTGCCTGGAAAATCCGCCTATCCTGTCTCTGTAGTGTGGCTAATGCTCTGTGTGACCGCAGCCTCAGTTTAATCATTAAAATGTATTCTCTATCAGATGTAGGTTCTGTGGAAGGGCTTGCATATCACAGGGCTTGGGATACTTTGTACTGGACCAGCTCTACTACATCTTCTATTACAAGGCACACAGTGGATCAGAAACGAAGAGGAGCTTTCAACAGGGAAGCAGTAATCACAATGTCCGAGGATGACCATCCACATGTATTAGCCTTAGATGAATGCCAAAAGTGAGTGCTGTATCTATATTTATTAGTCTCAGAATTTCATATTAGAGATGAGCAGATTTCCCTAGTTAAGTTCTCTGCTGTTTTAATTCAGATAATTTTGAAAATTATTTTGGAAATTGTAGGTAAGGTTTTATGCTTTATTATGTTGTATATGACTTTGACATTCTGGGAAAGCAGCTATTAAATTTTGCAAAGAAAGAAAGAAAATCCTGACACTAGAGCATGAACAACTTGAAGTTTTTACTTTCTTCACTACATCCCCCCCCCACAGATAATCAAGAAATCTTTGAACATAGCAAATATGAAATAAGTGGTAGTATTTTATTTTTTTTATTTTTACTAACATTTTGTGATGCTTCTAATGAATGACTTATAATGGCTCGAAATGGGGATAGCATTTTCAGTTCATTTCTATTGTAAAAAACTATAAAAAGCTGTTTAAAAATGTAGGACATGTACAATTGATATATTTGCCTATCAAGATAGTTTCAGAGGGTATCCATGTTCATCTGCAGTAGTACAGCTAGATTCAAGTCCTGTGTACCCTGGAGACTAACAACATTTGTGGGTTATGATGAGCTTTTGAGAGTCACTCATACTCCAAAACTGTGTTGGTCTCTAAGGTGCTACCAAATACAAATCTAGCATGTTTACCTATGCTGGCCTATCTATGGTCAAAAGCAGGGCTTTTTTGTAGAAAAAGCCCAGCAGAAACTCATTAGCATACTAGGCCACACCCAACAACAGAAACTCATTAGCATATCTAGCCACACCCATGAAATCATAGCTCATTAGCATATTAGGCTGCACCCCCATGTTACCAGAAGTATAGTCATCCAGCCACACCCACCTTTTTCTTCTTATTCTGTTTACCTTGTTTGTTGTCAAAACCTAGGGCTTTTTTGTATTAGGAACGCCTTTGCATGTTAGGCCACACCCCTAACGTAGCCAATCCTAATGAGTTTCTGCTATTGGGTGTGGTCTATTATGCTAATGAGTTCCTGCTGGGCGTGGTCAACTTGGGGGCCAGCCGGAACTCCGTTCCTGAGCGTTCCTGCCCAAAAATAGCCCTGGTCAAAAGTGAATTTTATTCAGCTTTATATGAATTTATATTTTTTTTCACATCTTTTAATTAACCAATGAGAATTAAAAGATATAAAGTGATACATTTTATGCCTCTGCAGAAATTTGTCTTCTAAAATGTGGAAATGTTCTTCAATTTAATACAGTTTAATGTTCTGGACAAATTGGAACGAGCAGCATCCAAGCATCATGAGGGCTACACTGTTTGGAAAAAATGCACAAATTGTCATCAGCACAGACATTCTTACACCAAATGGACTTGCCATTGATCACAGTGCAGAGAAATTATACTTTTCAGACGGCAGTTTGGGGAAAATTGAAAGGTGTGAATATGATGGATCACATAGAAATGTGAGTAAGAGCATAATGTCTTTTTTAATTTATAAAACTCTTTTTTTCCTGTATTACAAAATCTTCTCTGTACTTGTCACTCTCTTTTAATCCCTACTGAAAACAAATAAGCTACAATCATAACATCATACTGAGTTATGGTGCTCCAGGATAGTATTTAAGAGAGACTTGACTTAATTGATTTCTTATTCATTTGAAGAATACTGGTCCATAATGGGGACACATATCTTAATACCTAATAGATCAGGACAAACACCCTTTCCAGTACAAAGGTGTCTACTACTGGATAGGGGCTCTGCTTCATCCCTCTTTATCATTCTTGTAGAGTAAAAGACTATCTAAATTGGGACTGGGAAGCACCCTTTTGTGGTAGTTACAATTCAGGTAGAGCTGAGAGATTGCTGATCAGTCTCTTGGCCTTTGGCCTCCATTTAGTCCCCCATGCACTTTAACATTTACATGAAACTGCTGAGTGAGGTCATCTGGAGATTTGGGCTATCACTGATGTATGGATGACACCTCTATCTTGCACTTCTGGTTGATATCCAGAAGGCTGTAGAAACTCCGAGCCCATGTCTGGAGTCATTGTTGGACTGGATGTGGGCTAATAAACTGAAGCTTCTTTTTAAAAAAAACACAGAACTTCCATTGGTGACCAGAAGGTCTGACTGAGGACTTAAAGTATCACCTATTCTTATTGGGGTTGCACTCCCCTTGAAGGAGCAGATCCATAGATCCATGCCTACTGCTGGATAAGTGTCCTTTTACCAGGTGGTATTTGTTTTTTGTTTTTTGCGTTTTTTAATTGAAGAACTGAATTACAAATAAAGATTACAAATTTAGCTAGTAATTTCTTATTTTGCTTTTATGATAGGTGTACATATACATTTTCAATTGCTTTAATGCTTTACAATAAAAGCTTATTTTCTTTCTTCTATCTCTTCAGCTTCTTCTATCTTCTCAATATTAACCTATGCTTCATTTTAAGCAAAACTTTTCAACATAATCACAAAATTAATACTAATCATAGTACTTCTTACTCTATTCTTCTTTGAACCTGAGTTCAGTCTGAGGGAGGCCCATGGGCCAAAAGGACTTAACCTTTCACCCAGGGACTGTTGAAGGGTGGGCGCGTACCTGCATTTGCTTGCCTCTATCTGGTTGCCTTATTTCAGATATAACAAGGGCAGTCCTCAGAGAAGAACATGAACGCTTGTTGTTTAAAAGGAGTCTATATGTTCATTCAACTCTTCTCAGTCTTCAGAATGACAGAATCTGGTTGTCTTAAACAGAGTGGGAGGTGATCTTGTTTTCCTTTTGTTGTTTGTCTTTTCTAGTAGTTCACCTGGTGATTTATTTAAAACAGTCAGCAACTACTCTCCAGATGCCTGGTCAAAATCTGTGTAAATCACCTGCTTATATTCCACACAGGGTTTGCCCATGTTCAGCCAATGATACTTGATGTCTATCTCCCGGAGTTTAGTTGGAATTGGTTTCAACTCCCTTCTTATCTTAAGGAATTTTGCTGGAAGATCAGGGAACTCCTGTATCTTTACATCTTGATAGTCCAAACCATTTTTTTCTCTTACTTGTGTTAATATCCGTTGTCTGGTTCTGAAGTCCTTGAAAACTATAACAATGTCTCAATAATAAACTGAAGTATTTGCTGTTTCAACTTGTCTGCCCAACCCATAAGTCCTTTGAATTAAAGGAACCACTCCTTCCTCCATATTTAAAACACCAAGCAACCAATTAGCAATAAAGAAATTTAGTTCTGTTCCTTCTTCAACATTTGGTTTAAATCCTCTGAATTTCAGATGCAGCTCATGGGAATGATAACCCATAGAAAGAATGCATTCTCTAGCCCATAAATCAGGGGAGTTGCAGGCAGTTTGTTTCTCCAACTCAGATACCTTCCTTAAAGCATTATCAGCTGTTTGCTTAGTTTGCTTAAACTGTTCTTCTAATTTATCCATATGCTGGAATGCTGGTTTTAGCATTTCCACCATGTCCATTCTTAACTCTTGTCGTTGTTTTATCCCGCCCTCCCCAGAGGCTCAGGGCGGCTTACAGGGCATATTGTCCATTCTTAACTCTTGTCGTTGTTTGTTGTGTGGGGGTGCAGGGTTCAAAGAAGACAACAGGACACAAACGGATGCAGGAACTGATTGAAACCTCTCGGCTTCCCAGCGTTTATTTATAAGCTCAGTTTTCCCCCATTTCCCTCCCCCTCCTCTCTCCCTCCTTCTCTCTGTGTAAAGGAAAGTTACAAGCATTCTAGCATCCTTAAGGAATGTGTGTGTGCAGGCAAGTTCTCTGTTATCAGTTTCTCCCCTCTCTGTTATCTGTCTCTCCCCCTCAATGCCAAATTGACTGCATAGGCAATCACCAGACTTCTCATGCTGTTAGCACACAAATACCTTTGGGTTCCCAATTTCCAGCCAGGAGAATAGTGAATTCTTCTGCACTGCTTTCCTACAGTTGTTTAGCCAAGGCTTCTAAAAGAAAATTTGTTGTAAGAGTAGTACCTTCCTTATCAGTATTTCCTAAGTCCATTGTGGAGGAGGTTCCAGCCTCGGCTTCAGCTTGAGCAAAAAACTCTGTCAAAGAAGGTATATTATCTGTCCCCTTCTGTTGCTATTTTCCACCAGCAGGTGAGATTTTTTTGTTGTTGCTCCAGCAGGGGGATTTGGGGGGCATTCCGAGTAGGGTTGCCAAACCCCCTGGTTTGGCAGGGGTCCCCCACTTTTGGGGGGGTTCTACCCGCTGGCGGCCAGCTGCCCAATGGGGGAAGCCCCGTCCCCAAGCCCCAACACCCACAGCCACCCCCTCCCTTCTCCCTTCTCCCTGCACTTAAAGGGGCTCCCGTTAAGTGCAGGAAGCTGGTGTTTCCTATGCGCCCGATCTCCAAGCGGACATTGGGCGTGCGAAGCCTTCCAGCTCCCTGCATTTAAAGGGGCTCCTTAAGTGCAGGGAGCTGGCATTTCACGCATGCTCGATCTCCAAGCAGAGATCTGGCGTGCGAAGCCTTCCAGCTCCCTGCACTTAAAGGGGCCCCTTTAAGTGCAGGGAGCTGGTGTTTCTCCGTGCGCTCATTGGGTGGGCAGGCGGGGGTGGGGTGGATGTCTTCAATGTGATGTTATCACATCAAGGATGCTCCACCCCCTCCGGGACCAACTCCCAAAGTCCCCCTCTGGGGGATAAAATGGACTTTTGTTGTTGTTCAGTTGCACAGTCGAGTCCGACTCTTCGCAACCCCATGAACCAGCTCCCGCCAGGCCCTCCTGTCTTCCGCCGTCCTCTGAAGTTGGCTCATTTTCATGTTCGTTGCATCGATGACACTGTCTAACCATCTCATCCTTTGCCGTCCCCGTCTTCTTTGACCTTCAATCTTTCCCAGCATCAGGGTCTTCTCCAGTGAGTGCTCCCTTCTCATTTGGTGGCCAAAGTATTTGAGCTTCAGTTTCATTATCTGGCCTTCCAGGGAACAGTCAGGGTTGATTTCTTTGAGGATTGACTGATTTGTTCTTCTTGCAGTCCAAGGGACTCTCAAGAGTCTCCTCCAGCACCATAGTTGGCAGGAGCTGGGACCAAAGACGGGAGCTCACTCCATCATGCGGCACTTGAGTCTCGAACTGCTGACCTACCAGCCTTCTGGTCTGCAGTTCAGCAACTTACCCACTGAGCCACAACAGCCCCTTAGCCCTACTTTACCCTCCTTTATTCATGAGAGGGAGAGGGAAAAGAGGGCAGCTGTATACAATGTTCAGGTAAATTTGGCCTTCATTTGTGTCAGGACTATACTTATAGCAGGATCAAGTAAGATTAAAGTTCCCCTGATTGTATTCAGAGAGCTTTCCCCTTATTATTTTCATTATTCTCCACAGCTAATCCTTACAAATCTAAAAACCATGCCCACAGTTCAACACAAAGTTAAGGATAGTCTTAACTTTGTGCTGGATTGTGATCTAGGATAGACAGCTTCCAGGGCAGAAACTAGAGAGTATGTTTCCATATCATCTTGACCACAGTACATATTGTGGAATTCTTCCAGAGCAGTCCTAAACTGATCTGCTTAGAGTCCAATTTTATTCAGAGGGGATTTCTTCCAGGAGAGTGTTCTTTGGATTGCTGCCTTTGTGGGGGGTTATTAATAATGCCAATGTTTGTTTGTTTTTCTGGCAAGATCTTCTGAGCCTTTAAGAGTTGCAAGAGAAGCACAAATTGTGCCAGCCAATATAGCTGTTTACAGTGCCAGTGATGCAGTCCAGCTTCTGAGATGTGCTCCAGGAACCTTTGTATGTGACCGAGGAGAATGGAGTTCACCTCTTGAATCATGTGGTGTATGCCATTGGGATGTAAACTGTTTTTGGTCTAACCCTGCCTCCAGGAATTATATGCAAACACTGGGCATTGTAGTGGTTAAGTGCGCGGACTCTAATCTTGGAGAACCGGGTTTGATTCCCCACTCCTCCACTTGCAGCTGCTGGATGATCTTGGGCAAGCCATAGTTCTGTCAGAGCTGTCCTTGAAAGAGCAGTTTCTCTCAGAGCTCCTCAGCCCCACATACCTCACAGGGTGTTTGTTGGGGGGAGGGGAAGGGAAATGAGTTTGTAAGCCATTCTGAGACTCCAAGTGAAGGGTGGAGTATAAATCCAACCTCCTCCTCCTCCTTCTCCTTCTCTTCTTCTTCCTCCTCCTCCTCTTCTTCTTATGTTTTCTGTGCTATTAATTTTGGTTTACTTTGCAGTAGAGCTTTTTGCACGAAACTGGTATACACGGGGGGGGGGGGGGGGGGATAGAGCTTGTGAGCAAGCCGTGACTTTGAAGTACATGTGGTGAAATGCCTTCCACCCCAAAATTTGTTTCAAGATTTCTCATGATTGGGCTTGCACTCTGTATAGTCTTTTGCTGGCTAGCAGAGAAAAGAAGGGATAAGAGGGGTGGCTATACCTTACATCCCTAGCATGAAGCTATCCAGTGACACAGAAATGCAAAGTGCTCTAGCTAGAAGAAAGACAATAGGTAACATCACTTTCCTGACAGTCTCACATAAAACTATGGACCCTGGGAGGATAAAAGGCCTTCTGGGACGAAAGAAAGAGCGGTGCAGAGGGAGGGATGGAGGGCAGTTATAATACCCCTGGAAAAGTGGAAATAGTTCTTTTGACCATTTTGCCATTGTGACTGCAAACCACTAAAAATATCATCTATGTTAACTTGGACACCATCCTGAATACATGAGACCACATGGGAGAACTCCAAATGTTGGAATGAAGTAATGGGCTATTTCAAAATTCTTGTAAATACAAAAATCAATGAACTATTCTAATTTTCCATTATTTAGGGTATTTAAAGTATTAGGGTCAGAGGTTCACAGTTTTAACACTTTTGTCCTTGATCAAAATGTTGTCTCTGTGTATGCAGTGTACACTTTTTAACTTCCTTAATACACTTCTATTCCATTTAAATGCACCTGGATCAATCGTTGTGGCCCACATGAAAGCCCATGTTCGATCCACATGTACCAGAAGAAGAGTAGGAGGGGCCACAATTACTGTACAGTTATTCTACTTTCTGGGAACATTCAAGAGCTAAGCCTAGTGGAAGGTGGGAGAGAGAGCCTATTTTCAAGTTTGTGGTGGGGGAATTCCCGTTATCAATCGACTTGATAGTGGCAGAGGAAGTTCCCATGTGTCTAAAGATCCGCCGAGATCCTATTCTGTAAACTCCAAAGATTATTGTTTTCTATGCAGTGTATTTTTTTCCTCAAATGCCCTCAAGTATGTGTGTGTGTAAAGTGCTGTCTAGTCACAGCCAACTCATGACAACCCCAGCAAGGGGCTTTCAAGGCAAGTGAGAAGCAGGGGTGGTTTGCCATTGCCTTCATCTGCACAGCCTTTCTTGGTGGTCTCCCTTCCAAGTACTGACCCTGCTTAGCTTCTGAGATCTGGTGAGTTTGGGCTACATCCCATGCCATCTTCCCTCCCAAATGCCCTCATGCAACTAATTAATCTGATTTCTTTTAAAAGCATGTAGCCCCCGTGGAGCCTTCTCATCCTATTAAAGTGAAGCAAGCAAGCAAAACTGAAGAGTAGAAAACATTCATATTTGTCGCCTGTTTCCTTTTCTTAATCAGGTGATAATCAGATCTGGACCTGGCACTTTTCTTAGTCTGGCTATTTACAATGACTGGATCTTCTGGACCGACTGGGTGAGAAGAGCTATTCTGCGATCCAATAAATATACGGGTGGAGATACAAAAATTCTTAGATCTGATATACCACATCAGCCAATGGGCATCCTAGCCGTTGCTAATGACACTAACAGCTGTAAGTTACTGTGTTCAAAATTAATATTTCTTTACTGGTGGTTTTTTTTTAAAAAAAAAATAGTGTGCTTTCCAGAATATGCTGCAAAGGATGGAGCAGTGGAAAGCGTGTTCATATTTTCTCAGCTGACAGGATAAATTCAAAGGAAAGGTCTAGAGCTTGCTCATTTCCAAGATTTTGTAGGAATCTGCCTAGAATGTTATTATGCACATCATGCATTCTTACTTCAAACTTTTACAGTGAGTATTCCTTTGCTTACATTACTCCTCAGGCTCACCTAAGTAGCAATGGGGTAGCAGACCTACTTATGGCAAACTGTGCTACAATGAGGCTATAAATATTTTTAATGAAGATAGTGGTACCTTTCAACTAATTTCACCTCAACTGGAAGCAACTCTATGGCTGAGGACAGACTGGCAGTATGAAGCATGAGGGAGGTGGGGCAAAAAGTCCCGGACCAAGTTGTGCTGGGGATTCTCAGTTGCACTGCACCTACTGATGCGGGAGCATACTGGGGGGGAGGCGCAAGGGAGCATTCCCACTGTTGGCCCACCCCTGGTGGAGGCACAGCTGTAAGTGGCCTTTTTTTCACTCCAGCGACATGCACCTATTTCTTGAGCAACCTGCTCAAACGTCTCCCTGTTCCTGTGGGTCTGACGCAAGGTCTCCTGCACTGGCCGCTCACCCCACACTGCCAGGAGGTCCAAGGTCTCTTCCCTTTCCCAGGACGCTCCTTGCACACCTGCCATTTTGCCAGTCTGTCTCCCAGAAGGCTGCCTGCTGGGAGCTTTAACTCCGCGAGTCGGAAGCATCCCCACAGATGGTTGTGCACTCCAGCGCATATTGTGCATGCGTGCTTATGCGCATCCCTGCTGCCGGATCAGCCGGTTCACATTATCAATGTGGCTTGTTTGCAGCTTTTAGCATGCATACTTCCCAGAAGCGGGATCAACACGCCCTCCAGGGTTTGCTCCAGCTTTCACCTGGTATTTTTTTAATGAGGTAGGGAATCATCATAGAATGGGGTGAGTATCTACGCTGATTATAGCCTCAATCTGCTGAGTTAAGCCTCAACTATTTGACTGACAACTTTAAAATTATTATTGTGGTATTAATAATATACTGCAGACTGGCGACATTTGATGTTCTCAGAATAGGATGGAAAGAAAAAGCTATGGCAATATTACAGGTGAAGAACCTCAGAGAAACTAGTCCTGTTCTTTATATAACGACAGCAAGGCTTATAAGAAAATTGTGTTTCAATGGGCTGATCACTTAACTTTTTAAGATCTTTGCCTGATACTTTAAAAAAAATATGTTGATACAGTTCTCCTTTTTTTCAGGTGAATTGTCTCCCTGTGCCCAAATGAATGGGGGATGTCATGATTTATGTCTTCTTACTCCAGATGGTCGAGTAAATTGTTCCTGTAGGGGTGATCGAATACTGATAGATGACAATAGATGTGTGCGTAAGTAGTATCATCTCATGCAGTGATATCTTGTTTCGGTTCTTATTTACTTGCTTAAATACCTATACCCAGCATTTTGCACAGCTCAAGGTGGCTTACAAATTCACATTTTTAAAAACTCAAAATGTAATAAACCGCTGCAAAAGACCCTTCTGCAAAAATAATGTGTGCAACCAACACCCCCATTCAAAGTCCTAGCATAAAGTAGCCTTGTGGAATCATTTATATACATCTAAAGGCTATGTCCCCTTCACCTCAGGCTTCCCTTTCCACAGTATGACAACTGTGATTTAAGGCATGGGTTCTAGTTGATGCCACAGTAGGGGAACAACTAACAGGTGAACCACCTAAGGATAGCATGGTAAAATCCAGTAAGACTCATGTCCTTATTTCAGTGTATCTTTGCTCAGTAGGTCTTGTCAGTGTCTAGAAAACATGCTGAAGAAAGATTAGAGATTATCTATTTTTAAACAATAAATATTATACTGATATTGAATGTTCCTTTCATGTTTTTTATGCCGAACCTGACAATTGGAAACAAGCCTGTCAGATTTAGGCTTGATAAAGGGATGATCTGAACTATTTAATTACCCAACTAATCTCTCTAGTAGTATTGCTATAGGGAAGGGAATGTCTTTTCCCAAAATTTACTTTCTTTGGCTCCCTTTTTTCTCTTTTTAAAGAGGGATTACTCGTGTGACAATTATAGCCTCATGTAAGAGTCTGAGTCCTCTGTATGGTAAGGTCTACCCTGCCTAGAGAGGAACCATAATGCTGCTCTGTTACATATAGTGATATTCTTCTGGTAGTATTTATCTGCAGTGATTATTTATTTAATTGTTTAGCCTTTTTAATGCCATTTTTCTCCCCAAAGGGATCTGAACCAGCTTACAGAAATTTTCCTCGTATAAAACTCCAAATTTAAACAATGGAATTTAAGTACACAACAGATGACAAGCATATATGATCTCCAAGTAACATTAAGAATATCATGCAGAATTTTGAAATATTCAGATTTGTCTAGCAAATTCACTAGCCAGGCTTTTCCCCAGAATCTTTCAAACTCTGTTATGCTTGTGAATATTAGTTGTAACTCATTTATCTTTTTGTTTCTACTACCAACTTTTGACAAATACTTTATAGAGTGTATAATTTATTTCCTTATGGCAACATGGTTCATGAACTGGGTGTTGTGCTATGAGGTAGATTTTGATCTAATAGGTTGGAGACTGGAAGCACCAATTCTTGTTGAGACACAACTCATGAGGAGAAGGTGTTCATAAAATTCCAGTGAGGGGGAATGTGGATCCTCAGTAGAGGAACCTGGCACCTAAGATCCTATGCTTATCTTTAGCTGAAGTACAGGTGGTGGTGCAGCACCCTGAGTCCACCGGACACCCATGGAGATCCAAAACCTTAAAAGATATGTGTGGACAGGGGTGGGGGACCCAGAAGTGCCAATTCTTTGTGGGACAGAAATCATGAGGTGGTAACATAGACGGGGGAGGCTGGAAGCACCATTCTCCATGTGTGGAGGCTGGAAGTGCTGAAGTGGAACACAAGTCATGAGGAGACAGGAATGGACAGGGTAAAGCTGGAAGTGACAATTCTCAGGGGGACAGATATGGTGAAAGAGATGTGTGTGGATGTGGGGGGCTGAAAGCAACAATTCTCGGGGGGGACACAAATGTTTGCAAATCTTAATGGGGGGAGTGTGGTGGAGTGGCCCTCAAGCATGAGGGAGAAAGGCCTTTTAATGTGGAACCAGAGCCCTGGGTGAGAGCAGCCACAGCCAGAATTCACCTCTCCAACAGGGTGGGAAGGGGAGGCTGAAAATGGGAAAGGCCTTTTAACGTGGAAACAGAGGCCTGAAAGGCACACCACCAAGTCCTAAACATCACCCTGGGAAAGAG